ACTGTCTCTGGAGCTTCTTGCTAAAGAACGCCATCGCTCCACCATCCCGGCAGAGCGTGGGCCTCACAGGTTGAGCCCACACTAGATAGGTAGGCAGATATATAGGTGATACACAGATGATAAAGACATGAGAGATACAGATTACATAGACTCAATTGAGAAGGGATTTGGGTCCTGCATTGTGGAGCAGCAGGTTACGCCACTGCCTACGATGCTGGCATCCTGTATGAGCATGGTTCAAATCCCGGCTGCTCCACTTGCAATCCAGCTCCCTGCTAATATGCCTGGGAAAGCAGAAAATGATGGCCCAAGTCCTTGGGCCCCTGCCACCCATGAGGGCAACCCGGATGGAGTTCCAGGCTCACATGATTATGAAGGCTGAGGAGTCACATGATCTGTTATCTGCAAGCAGGAGAACCAGAGAATCCAGTAGCATGGCTCGGGCCAGAGGGCCTCAGAGCCAGGGGAGCCAACAGTGTAACACCCTGTGCAAGGCCAAAGTCCTGCAAACTAAGAGCTCTGGAGGGCAGGAGAAAACCGTGTTCTGGTTCCAGGGGAGAATTTGCTTTTCTTCTGCCTCTTTGTTCCATCCAGGCCCTAAGTCAGTTAGATGGTGCCCACCCAACACTGGTGAGGGCAGATCTTACTCCATCCACCGATTCAGATGCTGATGTCTTTGTTTAAAAAAAAAAATCACCCTTAGAGACAGGCCCAGACATATACCTTAGCAGCTATCCAGGCATTCCTTATTCCAACCAAGTTGACACCAACAATTAACCATCACATTGCTTGGTAAGCATTAGGTATTTATAACTATTTTTCCCCATCTTTTATGTCCATGGCTACCCTTGTTAAGATTTTGACAAGAAAAATGAATTATTGTAGGTCTTCTATGTTCTTTCCCCATTAAAATTATTTGTCCACTCTCACTGTAATTCTACCTGTCAAATAAAAAAAATTTGTCCAGTAAGAGTTTTATACAATAGGTTTACTAGGAAGTGAACATTCAAATATAGAGGCACAGAATCTTCCTCAGAAGCACCAAGGAGAGAGAAATAACCAGGAGGAGCTGAGGGAAGTCTCCCCAGAAAGGAGATGTTGGTAGATGTCGGCTGTCAGTCTTGAAGGTTGGGTAGCACCACACAAAGTCAAGAAGATGGGAGCAGACATCCCAAGCAGCTGTGGCTCAGGGAACAGATGCAGGACGTGACAAGGCATGTGACAGAAAGGAGACAGGAGCAACTGCCCGGGACGGTGTTAGCAGGGAGATGGCAGCAGAACGGAGAGTGTGTACGGCACACAAGTCCATTGTGCAGGTAACAGTGAGGCGCTGAACACGTTTCCAATAGGAGACTCGTGTTTCCAAAACACCGTTCCAGTTGCAGCAGGCAAAGAAAAAAGAGGGAGACAGGGTGGGCAGTTGGGCCAGCGGCCACTCCTCCCAGGGGGAGATGTGGGCTGGTACTAAGGTGGTAGGGTTGAAGAGGAGATGATTGGAATGAACAGTGTTTCAGAGGGATCTGCGGGGCTCCGAGACCAAAGGGAAGGGACAGGGACGCATCAGTGGCGCTCCTGCACCTGGGGAGCTGGCGACACCTTTGAGCTAGGAGATGCCTGAAAAGGAGGAACTGGGGAGAGCAGATAGAGATCAATTTGAAATATATTTGATGAACCTATACTCTGTCCAACCGAGAACATACCATTCTGTATCTGTGAGGGGAAGGGAGACCTGGAACTGTGAAGATGGCTAGACTTTTAGGTCACTGCTGCTGGCGGACATCAGACAGCTTCAGCATGCGTGCAGGAGTATGGGGCACTCCTTTTTTGAAACGGGGCATTGGGCATGGAAAGAGGACACTGTGAACAAGATGGGGAGAAGACCCTTGGAGATAAAACTAGCCCAGGAGCGAACTAGCCTGAGAGATACAGCAAAAGAGGGAAGTCAGTCTGCAAAGTTGTGTTATGCAAAAATAGCGTGGAAATAGCTCAAAGAGAATATTTCAAATGTTTTATAGCTCTCCAAAAAGCAGAATTCTGGCTCATCTTCCCCAATTTCTTCATACTAAAGTTTGTGATAAACATGTATCACCTCAGTAACAGGGAGAGAAACTCCCAAAGTAAACACTAAGATCAACATGGTAATACTCCATTATACTGGAAGAGAAGTGGCAAGGAAACCTGGGCTTTTCCGGTTTGTCTTCCTTTCTGCTCTTTTTGCTTTGGCCTTCATCTATCACAGCATCTAAACCAGCCTGGGTAGGCTCAGTTTATCAGGTTTTGTATCATCAATGTGCTGCTTTTTGTATCTCCAAACATCTGGGTTATTGTCCAGGATTTTTCATTTCTAGGAACTGAAGTTGGGTGTGGCATAGCTAAGCTCAAACTTGACGTGCTCTTTCCTACCTGCTCTGACCTTGAGCCAATTATCTTAACAACACATCTCCCGTTGGCCTTATTAGTTTGCATTCTGAATTAGAAGTGATGGAAGCCCAAGTAAAATTGACTTCATGCAAAAACTCACAGCCTCTTGGAAGTACTTACAGAAGGGCTGGTTACCCAAGGTTCCTCTCCTTTTGGGCCTAGGAATGCCAAACCAGGGATTTCTTTGCTGTTTGTGTCCCTACTTTTTCTTTCCCTGCATGTCCGTTTCACCTGCTAGATCTCTTCTAGCTTTTATGTTTGTCACCAGGAAATGAATTAAAGTCCTGGGTAGTTCAGTCCCTTTTGTGCCATTACAACAGAGTACTGCAGACCAGCTACTTCATAATAATAAAAGAGACATATCTGGCTCACCATTCTGGAGGCTGCCAAGTCCCGGATGGAGGGGCCCGGCTGGCGGGGGACTTCTTGTTGGGTCAGCCCACGGCGGAAGGCTTCACACGGGCAAGGGCGCTCACGCGCATGGGCCGCCGGGAAGGCACTGACCGCCTCCTTTTTAAGGGGCCGTCTCCCTTGCAACAAACCCGCTCTGTGGTAAGGAAACCGCTGCCATATGACGTTCATCATGGCCTGATCACCCCCTTCAAGGTCTCTGCTCCCAGCCCTGGTCAATCTTGAGTAAGACAGCTGCTCCTAAACCAATTAACAGCCAGGTGGACTACATCATGTGACGAGCACAGGAACCTCCCGGTGCGTGCGGCAGAGCTAATTCCTAGAAGCATGGGAGGGGAGGGGGCATTTCATAGGTGTAAATCTCTTCCTTCCAGGAACAGGGCCACGGTTTTTTGAGCTGACACAGATGAAAGTGCAATTCTTCCGGCATCTTTTCAGGACCTACTGCAGGACAAGCACTGTTCTAGACGCTGGGCATCCGCAGAGGACTGAGCAAACGAGATCATTCAGACGGAACGCCTGACCCACAGTAGTCACGCAACCAACACTGGCACGTGGGTGAACGTGGAAGTGAAGGCACTGGCTTGGAGGAGAGTCCTGTTTAACACCCGTCCATGCTCAAGAAGTTCCGGTTCCTAAGAGAACTGCTGTGTTATCAGTACTGAGACCCAGCCTACAATGGATCCTGGCTAGCTGACCTATGTGGAAGATGAGGGGTCATTGCTGCCAGATCTGACTCACCCAGGGAGACCTGGGAAGCACCCCAGTGCAGCTGTTGACTGGGGCGTGCATGGGCTCCGGGACAGTCCCCAGCTATGGCCAATTCCATGTGGTGCCACTGCTTGAATGGCCCTAATGCAGTCTTGCCCCTGCCAGGTTCCCCCACCACACACACACATAACGTGCTATCGCCTCTCCCATTGCCCTTACACACTCCCTGGTAGTCCCAGCCAACTGACGGTGGGAAGTGTGTGAACGCTGGATTTCTGCAATGTGCAGAGGGACAGTTCAGATGCTGGGACTTAGCACAGGAGTTCATCTCAAATCAGAACATCACAGGCCACATACAGCTTTTCTGAACTGCACAGGTAGAGGTCTTAAATACCGACACTGGTGCTTGCAATGCCTGCTCAGGCTAGTGGACCCAGGTTTGTGACATGTTTGGTGGGGTGAGCAGACTGGCCTAGATCAAGCGAGGTGTCATTGAGGCAGCCACTTCCCTCTCTGGGTGTCAGATCCTGTGGTTTTACAGTGTGGGCTGAGCAATCTTAAGGCTCTGTGGAGATGGCTCTGGAGCCACGAACTAAGGGTCAGGTGGGGGTCCTGAACCTGCACCCCAACTCCACCCATTTGCTTTTGCTGTATGTTCTGTGATTCCAGTTTAGGAGAGAAAAGAAGGAATTATCCTGAGGTCTGTGGTGTGTGTGTATTTCCCACTGCCATATGGAGTCTTAAAAAAGTTGATGGAAAATACATATTATGAAAAAAAGAGTATGCATGGATTTCAGATTTTTGGCACCAAAATATACCTATTGATTGATTCCATTTTTCCCTGTACCTTTTGAAATGCTCTGGTAATATGTTTCAATACCTCCAGGGGATGCCTGAAACCATGAGTAGTACTATATATATATATATATATATATACACACACACATATATATATGCTGTGTGTGTATATACTGTTTTTCCTAGGCATACATACTTACAATAAAATGTAACTTATAAATTAGGTACAGAAAAACAATAAAATAGAATAATGATAACATCATAATGTAGTTTTGTGAATGTGGCCCCTCTCTGTTGAACAAGACAAGACAGAAATTAGTAGTTTAGGGACCTCAGTTGACTGTGGTAACTGAAGCCTTGGGAAGTGAAATCACAGATAAGGGTGTACTGCTGTGTGTGTGTTTATACACAGACACATATATTCTTCTGATAGCTATATGTAAGTATGTATTTACTCTCCAGATATTGCACACACATGCACACACACACACACTAGATGACCTCCGCAATGTTTCAGCAATGACATTCTATGATCTTTGTGTGTGTGTATGATCTAAGTCAATTTTGCATCACATGGGTAAAACAATCAAAGATGATTTGTACAAATTATAAGTTTTAATGGCTGTTAAATAGAAGGAAAGATATTTGCACTATATACATTCTGTCCACTTAGAGTACTGTCAGCCAGCCATGCACATTTTATTGCACATATAAACAGTGTACAAGGATCTTGAAGATGTCTTAGCCATACAAGAAGTGCATTTTAAAGAAAAAAAGCCCTTTTACAAAATACTGAAGCCATTTGTATTATACAGCCAACTTCAAAAAATACTGAAAATTAATATCAAAAGAAATATTTTAACTTTGAAAAAAATCTCTCAAAACAATGATTACAGAGTTTCATAGGTTGCCATATATACATGTAAAAAAATATTTCAGGACCCTGCGTTCTGAATGCCCATGAAGGTGCAGCAGTCTCAATTCCAACAGATAGAATGGACCTTTGAGTGTTGCTTCAATTGTATACGCTCTTTGTTCAAAAAAGTCTTTCCTCTTTACATCATCATGCTATTGACAAAACACATTTCTGCGAAGTACAGGAAAATATTAAAATATATTTGAAGTTAGGTTAAAGTGCACAGTACATTTGATAAGAAATCATTGCTAGCTGCCACTCCCAAGTCCCACGTGCAGAAACCCCTCCCCTGGCCCAGAGCGGGGAGCAGCCTTTGCGCTGGTTCCTGTTGGTCTGTGCCGAGTGCACACTGCCCTCTTCCTGGGCTCTTTCCTTTTCCATTCACCTGTACATCTGTCTTATAAACTGTGGCTTCTGTTGCCCCCAAACTTCTAATGGCTTTTCACAGAGGTGGAAGTGCAATGCGGTCAGCATTCACAGGATTCTGGAAGATGAACCACTGGGCTAGCCGGAGCTGCAGCGTGAGTGTGCGTGCATGGACCTGCCTGGCGTCGGGGGTTACATGAAGCCATCTGTGAATCAGGCCAACACGGATGGGTTCCTTTCTTTCGCTGATGCTTCTCTTAGTCCTGCTCCCTCCTTGGCCACCCAGACTCACAAACTCCACTTACTCAACCTTCTCTTAGCCTGCTGTGGCCATGGTTGTGCCTACAGCTGCCCCACTGCTCACAGACAACTCATCTCGGAGTTTCACAGCAGGGATCGCGAATCTCGCAGTATTTTACAAACTATTTTGAAAACCACCAACTGGATTACAATCAAATGAACACATCTACTTCTCAAGTGTCCCCTTTCTTTTAAAATTGGCAGTTACAAGAAGTGCTGGTCTTCTGGCCTACGTCCTATGTGCCGTAAGGAATTTTTGATCACTCAAAGCTTCCTTTGAAAAACTTTTTGGTTAAACAATAAACTTTGTATTCTCCCCATTTTCTTATGCCTTCCCTCATTATCTACCTTTGGTGCTAGACTCTTTCTAATGACCCATGTTACAGTGCAAAATTATACTTCAAGACACATATGCTAACACTTATTCTTTGTGTTAAAACGTGAATGTTTTGTGCATAGCAAAAGAAGTATGAATCCAAAAAAATAACTGTTCACATTTTATCTTCAAGTTTAATGTGTCTTTTTTTTCCCATCACAGCTATTTACAAATAACTTTGGGGTGCTCTCTTGATTTCAGTCAGTTTTATTATATCAGGGGACAAAAGGGCTGCTGGAATGTAGGAAACTGGATGGAATGCAGAAGTATAAATAAGAACAATGTTCCACAAACCAAAGTGGAAGTAATGCCTCCCCAGAGAACAGTTCTTTGTCACAGAAGCACCTGTTGTTTGCTTACTTTTTTTTTCTGAATCATATACACCAGAAAACGTGATTACCAAGACCTAGAACTACTGCACACCAAAGAGGATAGAAAATAACTCAATATTTATAATATTAAAATAAAGTGTTTAACCACAAAAAAGCAGTAATAAAATAGTTTCCTAATTTACAATTTGCATCCAAAGGATGAATAACAACTCACTAATAAATAATATTCATATAAATATTTTGTATGTCGAAAATAGTTTTTTAAAAGGCAATGGTCTCAAGAAACTTCTTGAAAAATTTGGTGGTGAGAAACCTGATTGTGCCCCCCCCTCCCCCCGCTAAACACATCATGAGTTTGGTTGTAACGAAACAAACACGTCTTGCTACAAAACGGTTGTGCTTGGCGTTCTGGCAATGGCAGTCGGTGAGCGTGGAAGGGATACGGAGGTTGTAAAGGCATTGATGCGGCGCTCAGCTCTTCACCAGCTCTCCCACCGTGCTCGAGATAAAAGTACCTGTCAAGTCGTCGCGTCCAAGGTCAGCTCTGCCAAGCGGAAAATCCTCTGAAAACCTTTTCAACGCAACAGAGTTGGGGAGTGACAGGCAGTGAGTGGGAGAGAGGGTGGACTAGGTGCCGGGAAGAGAGTTCAGGATCCCTGATGGAGCACAGTCCGAGTGACCCCAAAGGAGAGAGAGGGGCTGGCTTCATGTGAATAGAGCCTTCGCGACAGTGACGTCTAGCAACGCCTGCACGGTCATGCCCACTTTGACCAGGCCTTTCTCTTCAAGGATGTGATGGGGGAGACATAATTTCTCCTAAAAGGAAGAAGAACAAAACATCAGTTGGCAGATGATCAGACTCGAATGGCCAAGCTCCGCTACATCACGGCTGGGAGTTAAGTCGAGCGCTGGCCTGTGCCAGCGGCTTCACCTCTGTCTGTGCTCCTTGCCTTGCTTCTAACTCACTGTAAAGGCATTTCTGTGTTGGCACAGAAAAATGACGATTTTTTTTTGCAGATGAGACTTGTTCCTGGAAGGCTCCTGATCACCCTGAAATCTGCAAAGGATCTAAACATTTACGAAACCTCTACGTGAAATAACTGAGCTACACAGAGTCTGTAGGGAGACACACATCCATATAATAGCTTCTATTCTTATCAGGCAAAACTGTAGAGGGCATCTCTCATATTTTAAAGGATCTCAAGTGCTGTGTATACAGACCACATACTGTTACACTGACCACAGACCCTGACCCTGGTCAGTTTGTCCTACTGCCTGTGATCTCTGGAAGGCAGGCATGTTGGTGAGTCGGCATTCTTTCTTCATGGCTTACACAGAGACTTACAAATAAATAATTTTAACCACAGCCTTCAACTGTCTCTCTTTTAAGGCTCTTTCATGAAACTGTCAGTCACAAATGTGCTACTACTTTCTCATGTATCACATCTGCTCTTGGGATGTGCCCTGCACCTATTACTCAAGGAAAATAATCACCACTTTGTATATAATAATCACTTCTAGCATAATTACTTCTATTATACTCACTTCTATCATAATCCCTTCTTGTGTATAGAAGCTCGCATGCTCCCCAGAACAGTTTACTGAATAACATGACAAAATAGTACCACAACTTTGGCATCTGGCCCTGGTCTGATGTCACACATGGGAACCCAGGGTGTCCCCTCGGCTGGGAAGTGTCCATAACAAATATTCTCCCCAATCTACCTGGTGATAGAACATTCTCCACAGCCCAGTGGTTAACTGCGTCTTGTTTTTTTTTTCTTTCATTTTTAATTGACAAACAAAAACAGTATGTATTCATGGTATACACAATGGTGTTTTGCCAGAAATACACATTGTGGAATGGTCCAGTCAACCTAATTAGCATATCCATTTCCTCACTTACTTAATTTGTGTGAGGGTGGTGAGAACACTTCAAATCCACTTTATCAAGTCTCAAGTGTACATTATTAACTGTAGTCACCATAAACATCTTGAACATGGTTCTCCTGTCCAGCTGAATTTCTCCATGCCTTACCCATTGTCTAAATCTCCCTATTCTCTCACCCTACTCAGCTCCTGCTAATAGACTCTTTGCTTCTGGAGAATTAAACTTTTAGACTCATCATATGAGGGAGTTCATGCAGCGTTCGTCTTCCTGCACCCAGCTAATTTCACTTAATATAATGTCCTCTGGGTCCATTGATATTGCTGCAAACGACAGAATTTCCTTCTTCTTAAAGGCTGCATCAGTGAACAGCACTGTTTTCATAAGAGGACCAGAGCGCTCTGCACATGGCTGCTTCTGTCGCCGCGACTCATGCCAGTGGAACCAGATCTTCCTGCTGCCCCAGTTCAGGACTCTCCACAAATCGTCACCCATACAGGCACTCTGTGCTTAAAAGGGTCTTCAAAGGACGCTGTGTGGCATTTGCAATAACTTGTCCCACTGTCTCAAAGTGCTGGTGAGTCCTACCCTCTCACCATCCTCCCATCCTTCCTCCTGATTAGTCCTCCTCTATGATGAGTTCATAGCATTTCAGACGTGGACCCCAAGCGGGGGGAAATGGCCACATGTCACCATAAGACAGCTAATTCTTCAAATTACAATTTTAACCTTGATTTCACGTAGCTGCTGTGTTCTGAATTAGAATGGTTTTGTCAATGGCAGATGAGACAGGCATGCAAGTTGATAATGCTTGCCAATTTAGCAGACACAGATCAGCGTGCGAGAGGAGGGGCTTCCGTCTGAGTTGGGATCCAGAGGCCAGATCAGGATGCGTGGTGGCACAGTGAGGGGATGCCTGCAGCCAGATGCCAGTGCCCACTCTTCCTGACACCATCTGCCCCTGCTCTCCCTGGCATTTCACTGCCAAGGCTGATGCCACAGAGCAGGGACTTAGCGTCCTCATTCTGATGGCTTCCGTGTCACTCAAGCTGACATCTGTCTTGGCAGGAAATGATAAATGACGGCTAGGCACAGTGAAGCTCCTGGTACACCAGACATTACCTGGGGAGAACAGGTCTTCCGTTCACACCTATACTAAAGTCAATTCAAAATGAATCAAAGAGTTAACTGTCTGAACAAAAAATCTCTCCCAGCAAAACAGACGAATATTTAATATCTTCTCTAACAAATAAAAGGGAGAAGTTTTCCAAACTAAAAAAGCAATAGAAAAAAAATCACCAAGGAAAAGATCAAAGTAATTGTCTAAAAATAGCAAGTTTCCCTGTGTCAAAACTTCTCAAACTAATGAAAAGATAAACAATAAACTGTAAAAGGTATTTACATCAAATTACAAACGGTTTTATCTGACATGTAAGCTCAATAAACCAATAACAAAAACACGAAGAGTTCACTGGAACACTGGGAAAAGAACACGAACAGAAACTTTCAAGTGACAGATTTGCCCAAGGCAGCAGGGCAAGACATCTCACTTCTGAATCTCAGTGTTTACTCATCTTTATTCTCAGATGTGCCTGAATATTCCCACAGAGCCTGATCTCTGTACAGCAAGGCTTTTATGGGACATGGTATCCTAGCCTGAGTCCTGATTGGACGACTGGGGCACAGTCTGTCTCCTCCAGTTAGAAATGGGTCCAGTCCCTTGGGGCCAGCACTGTGGCACAGCAGGTTAACGCCCTGGTCTGAAGCCCCAGCATCCCATATTGGTACCGGTTCGAGACCCGGCTGCTCCACTTCCAATCCAGCTCTCTGCTATGGCCTGGGAAAGCAGTGGAGGACAGCCCAGGTCCTTGGGCCCCAGCACCCGCATGGGAGACCTGGAAGAAGCTCCTGACTACTAGCTTCAGATTGGTGCAGCTCCAGCCATTACAGCCAACTGGGGAGTGAACCAGTGGGTGGAAGACCTCTCTCTCTTTCTCTCTGCCTCTCCTCTCTCTATAACTCTTTCAAATAAATAAATAAATAAATAAATCCTTAAAAAAAAAAAAAAAGAAATGGGTCCAGTGCAATCAGTGAGCACTACTTCCAGTGATCTGCGGAGTTCCATGCTAGAGGTCAAGGGAGGGGAGGGTTCGGAGGTACAGAGACAGGAATGTGAAGGTATTAAGGCCTCTGCCTCCTACCAGTAGGACACTTGGATACTTCACAGACTTAGGTTAAGGTGGCCCAGGCCTGTACTTTTCCAGTGAGCATCTCTCACCTTCCTGGTCTCTGCACTCCTAAGCTAGTGCAGGGTCCAAATGCTCCCTTCCACCTACATTTATAGCCAGTAATGGGGAGCAGAGATGCTTCTCAACCTAGCATGGATGGGGCTACGTCCTGCTAAACATCTAACCCTAGGCGCACCACAGCGTAGCCCCACCCTCCTTTAATGTGCTCAGTACACTTACATTGGCCTACAGTTGTGCAAGATCTCACACATGAGAAAGTGCTGAGCATGTCATGTAATTTATTGACCACGATACTGAAAGTGGAAAACAGAATGGGTGAAGGGGTGTGGCTTGGAGCATGATAAAGTTGAAGAATTGTTAAGTCGGACCATCATAAATTGGGGGACGTCTGTACCCTAGAAGACATACAAAGGCCTCTTTCCATCCTTCCCAGCTTTCCCTCTTCACTTAGATTCCCTGAATAAACATGGAGGTGCCCCCAGTTTACTTTGATGGGGCTGAGGCTCCTAAGAGGACCAGCATGAGGAAACAGAAACCTTAGAGACACACAGCACTTCTGGCTATTTTATCCCAGGACTGGCAGGAAGACTCACGGGAAGTCTAAGTCAAGGTGCTCCCTAGAAGGAAGCCCCAGGAGGACTTGCCAGAAATGAGGCAGGAATATCAGAGTGGCCAGAGGGCCATCTGCCCCATACCAATCCTACGACCGCACGTCCCGCAGCGGGAGGGCAACCCTGCAGTGAGGTTAGACCCTGGAATGGAGAAGGTCGAGGACCGACAGGAGAGCAGGTGAGCTGGCCCTTCCAGGGCATGCCTGGTACACAGGGGACCAAAGCAGACAGAACTGGGCATTCATGTTCACTTTGATGACCTGAAGCTGCCAGGTCATAGGATCTTAGAGGTTTTGGGTTGAGAATGTGATTCCCTATACCCGTGGGCTGCTGCTTCTACATAATGGAGACACGAAGTAGCATCCTGCATAAAAATAATGTTTCTGACCCCTGCTGGGAAAAAACATGCATCTGTTACTTCTCCGATGGTGGAGTTGATTAGTGGCAATTACTCCACTTCTGAGCCACAGCAAACAAGCCTGGAAAAGGCAGGCAAGCCATAGAAACCAAAAGCTAAACAACTTTGAGAGAATTCTCAGGCACTTCCTCCATGCCTGGCACCAACGTTACAGGTTTGCACTGGGTATATTTCTTCACGACAATCCTGCCAGGTAAGCATGAATATCTCCACTTTGCAGAGGCAAAAACAGAGTTCAGGTAACTTTGCGAACGTTACCCAGCTGGGAAATCCTCCACCTGGGTCTGATCGTGGAGTTGGGGCTCTTTCTAGGATATCATAAGGTCCTGAATCAGTCAGTGAGCACACTAGTCTGATCCAAGAAAGGTTCCAAGGGCCCCTGGAGTTCTTTGATGGCAAGTCCCAACAATTTCAATGTCACGGGGACTAGAGAACCCTCAACTCAGTGAGTGGTCTTAGCTTTGCCACTCAGATAGTTTGGCTTCTTTTTGTAGTGAATGATACATATCCCCTCCCAGCAGAAAGGACCCCACAGCAGGTGACTGAATTGCTGTCATTGCCTGGCTCCCCCCTTCCCTAAGTTTCTTATGCTCTTAAAGAGCCACACACGTACTCTTAGTTCAGCCACTAGACTAAAATGAAATCACTCA